GTTTACTCTGGTCTATAATAATTTTTAATAAATTTCATAATATTGAAAACTATTTAATTCGAAAGTGAAACAGTTTTGTTGTTATAACAGGGACTTTTCTTTTAATTTGTTTGTTCAGATTTTACATTTTCTTCTTTGTTTTAATTGAAATAACAAATTTCCTGGATTTTCAAATACTTTTGTTTTCAAAACAACACAAAAACCATACGGATTCCTATTAAGCCATTTGTTTACACTAACTTCCTTTATATTTTTCGAATTTTTCTTTATTTGTTTTGGTCTTAAGAATATTTTACAAAAAGCAATACAAATTTGAAAAAAAAAAAAAACAAAACCAAATTTTATGATTTGCTAATTTTCAAAACAATTAAATTCTTACTTAAAGGCTAAAGAAAAGAAAAACACATAAAGTTTGCAAAAATACATATTAAAAGAAAATTTACTCTAGGTATTTCAAAAACAAAATGTTCATTATAAAAATCCCAAAAGAAAACATAAAGATAAGCCTTTTGTTTGTCTACCCCGCACACATATTGTAAACCGAATTTATGCGCAGGCGCATGTCTTATCAATATTACCGCACAGCAGGTTGCAATATTTCATGACTCTTGTTTTTCTTGACTTAGTTTTGGTTGGGTAAACATTTCCTAGATTTACACATGTATTTTCAAAATTGTTTTATTATTTCGACACAAATCATCATCATCATCTTGTGTGTTTGTTTAGGTCTTGTTAACATTATTTTTGTATAAGAATTTGTGAAAAATCTTTTCAAAATTGTATCATGCTGTGTCAATACAAATAGTTATTTTCTAAATTTAAACACTACTTAAAATTTAAGGCTGTGATTATCTGGAAGTCTCTTTTAAGAACGAGATATATATGACAGACAATTGTCCAATTTCTGGGAATTTATAAATTTATTTGTATTTAATAGATAAAACCGTAACTGGCATTTGTTTGAAGAAGAAGAGGAAAAGCAGTAAAATAAATAAAAGTAGGTTTGATAATATTTTACAATAATTATCAATTAAATTTTAAATGGGTAGGACCAGTAAATATTTGGGATAATCACAGTTAAGTAGAGACAAAAGGAGAAGGTCTTGAGTTCCTGTTAATGTTATTATTTAAACAACTTTACAACTTCTCTTCAGTCTTTTGCAAATACACTAAAGCACTAAATATACATTAGGTTAGAATACACTAGACTATAGGCACGACTATGGACAAGATTAGACTATACACTACACTATAGACTACACTTGACTATAGACTAGACTATAGACTACATTATAGACTAGACTGTAGACTAGACTATATACTAGACTTTAGACTAGACTATAGACAAGACTATGGACTAGACTGTAGACTAGACTATATACTAGACTTTAGACTAGACTATAGACAAGACTATAGACTAGACTATAGACTAGACTATAGACTAGACTATAGACTAGACTATAGACTAGACTGTAGACTAGACTATAGACTAGACTATAGACTAGACTATAGACTAGACTATAAACTAGACTAAAGGCTAGACTATAGACTAGACTATAGACTAGACTATAGACTAGACTATAGACTAGACTATAGACTAGACTATAGACTAGACTATAGACTAGACTATAGACTAGACTATAGACTAGACTATAGAATAGACTATAGACTAGACTATAGACTAGACTATAGACTAGACTATAGACTAGACTATAGACTAGACTATAGACTAGACTGTAAACTAGACTAGACTATAGACAGACTATAGACCAGACTCTAGACTAGACTATGGACTAGACTATAGACTAGACTATAGACTAGACTATAGACTAGACTATAGACTTGACTATAGACTTGTCTATATACTTGACTATAGACTAGACTATAGACTAGACTATACATTAGACTATGGACTATACTATAAACTAGACTATATACAAACCTATATAGTAGACTATATACTAGACTATATACTAGACTATTGACTAGATTATTGACTTTACTATCGTCTGGACTATATACTAAACTATAATCTGGACTATAGACTAGACTATAGTCTGCTCTATAGACTAGACTATAGTGTGGACAATAAACTAGACTATAGGCTAGGCTATAGACTAGACTATAGTGATAGACTAGACTATACACAAACCTATATAGTAGACTATGTACTATACTATATACTAGACTATAGACTAGACTATTGAATTAACTGTAGTCTGGACTATATACTAAACTATAATCTGGACTATAGACTAGACTATAGACTAGACTATAGACTAGACTATAGACTAGACTATAGACTAGACTATAGACTATACTATAGACTAGACTATAGACTAGACTATAAACTAGACTATAGACTGGACTATAGACTAGACTATAGACTAGGCTATAGACTGGACTATAGACTAGACTATAGACAAGACTATAGACTAGACTATAGAATAGACTATAGACTAGACTATAGACTAGACTATAGACAAGACTATAGACAAGACTATAGACTAGACTATAGACAAGACTATAGACTAGACTATAGACTAGACTATAGACTAGACTATAGACTAGACTATAGACTAGACTATAGACTAGACTATAGACTAGACTATAGACTAGACTATAGACTAGACTATAGACTAGACTATAGACTAGACTATAGACTATAGACTAGACTATAGACTAGACTATAGACTAGACTATAGACTAGACTATAGACTAGACTATAGACTAGACTATAGACTAGACTATAGACTAGACTATAGACTAGACTATAGACTAGACTATAGACTAGACTATAGACTAGACTATAGACTAGACTATAGACTAGACTATAGACTAGACTATAGACTAGACTATAGACTAGACTATAGACTAGACTATAGACTAGACTATAGACTAGACTATAGACTAGACTATAGACTAGACTATAGACTAGACTATAGACTAGACTATAGACTAGACTATAGACTAGACTATAGACTAGACTATAGACTTGACTATAGACTTGTCTATATACTTGACTATAGACTAGACTATAGACTAGACTATACATTAGACTATGGACTATACTATAAACTAGACTATATACAAACCTATATAGTAGACTATATACTAGACTATATACTAGACTATTGACTAGATTATTGACTTTACTATCGTCTGGACTATATACTAAACTATAATCTGGACTATAGACTAGACTATAGTCTGCTCTATAGACTAGACTATAGTGTGGACAATAAACTAGACTATAGGCTAGGCTATAGACTAGACTATAGTGATAGACTATTCACTAGACTTCAGAAAAAGTAAACATTTTTAAAAAAGTGCTGAAAATAGAAACATTTTAATTTCCCTTAAATTTACATTAAAAAGATTCCCATTTTTTGAATTTTAAAAAATTTTAATATAAATTTGCAAAAAATTTTAAAAAAATTTTATGTTTCAAAATTCGAACTTAATTTCGAATTTAAGAAATTGAACAAAAACTGTTAAAAATTTGTTTAAAATTGTTTATTCTACAAATCCTATAGGAAAAACGTGAAAGAATCGATTTTTTTTTTCTTAAGTTCGAAATTTCGATTTAAACTTCCTATTGAAAAAAATCATCAAGATTCCACAAAAAATTGTTTCTTTTACAACTCTTATGAGAAAAAAGCGAAAAAATCTAATTTTTTCTCTTATTCGAAAATTCTAACTTAAAAGAAATCATCAAAATTGTACATAAAATGTGTTAGAAATGTTTGTTTTCGATACTAGTTAAAAAATAGGACAAAATTTTGACTATTTTTCCTATGTTCGAAAATTCAAAATTAATTTCGAATTTTAGAAAATTGCTAAAAAAAATTAAGAAAAAAATTTTAAAATTGCTTTTTTTCAATTTCTGTTTATAAATATGATAAAATTCAGAATTGTTCTTATGTTCGAAAATTCGAACTTAAGTTCGAATTTTAAAAAATATGCAAAAACTGTTATTTTAAACTTGTGCGAAGAAAATATTTCGTTTTTACTAGATTTCTAAAACTTGTGCAAATGTTGACTTTTTCCTATGTTCGAAAATTCCAACTTAATTTCGAATTTCAGAAAATTGTTAAAAAAATTAAGGAATATTGAATTTCCGTTTAGAAATAAGATAGAATTCAGAATTGTTCTTATGTTCGAAAATTCGAACTTAAGTTCGAATTTTAAAAAATCAGCAAAAACTGTTATTTTAAACTTGTGCGAAGAAAATATTTCGTTTTTACTTGATTTGTGTAATTTTTTTGAAATTTTAAATAAACGTACGTTAACTTTTAGTGTTAATTGTCAGTTTTTTTTATTAAGTTCTAAAAATTAATATTACTATTTGTTTTAGTTGTTTTTAAATGTCAATTACATTTCTTAATCTAAAACCGGTTAAACGTCTTAATAATTTTCCATAAAAAATTGTTAATTTACTAAAACATTTTATTCAACTTATAGTGACGCCCTTTAAAAGTAATTTAGCAACTTTTCTCGGTAATATATTTATTTATTAAATATTTATTTATTGTAATTAAATGATAAATATATAAATATTTACATATTTGTTTAAATTTAAACAAATAAAGTGTCAAAAGTTGAAAAAGTAAAAACTAGATTCACTATAAGATAAGAAATTTAAATTTCAAAACTTTTATTCAAATTAATGAATAAATTTTCCGGTCTTAAAATTTTAAGGGGAATTTCCCATATTTTTCTGAATTTGTTTCTGCCTTAGAAACAGGTAATAATAATGGGTTCCTAAAATTCATATTACAATTCAAGGACAACATATTAAACCCAAACTTATTCAAAATTAGGTAATAAGTGACAATAAGGAAGGTGTTGATATGGTTACCTAAGTACCTTCGAACTTAGTTGCTACTGCTGCAGGTACAATTTCCCATTTTACATAAATATCCTGTTTCCACAAGGATTAACAGCATTCAGTTCTAACCACTCAAACCTTAAACATCAAGAAAACAAAGATAAACAAAATGTCTTCAACAAACTATCCTTCTAAATCCAACGATTTCTCAGTCGTAGAATACTCCCATAAGAAATTTGCTAAGCATACAAACAAGCGCAAGCAAATAGAAATGGAAGATAAGAAAAACGAAATCAGTGCTCAAACTATATTGGAAATGGCAAACAATAAAACGGAACAACCTTTAAGCAAAAGAAAACAAACTAAAGCTTTATTTAGACCCTGGTTGGATGAGGGAGTTAAGGAAAAAACTAACACAACAGCTAAAGTTTTGAACCCAAAGGCCCCTAAACTTTATAACAGACCTCAACAAAGCAAATGGAATCACCAACAATTGGCTCAACTTATACATCAATACAATCAACAGGCTCAACAGTATTTATTGCAGCAGCAACAATACTACGCCTACTATCAACAGCAACAGGTTGCCGCCAGACTGCAACATGCTGCATATCTGCAGCAACTACAACAAATGGCCTCACAGCAGCAACAGCGACAATTATTTGTGTTTGGTCAACAATAATTCAAAAAACTTGAAAAAATGGCTTCAAGTTATGGAATAACTTAAAGTTAGAAATAAAAAAACTAGTTAAACTAGTGTTAATTATAGGTTTAATTAGATTTATGTAATCTATTGTTAATTTAATTATATTTATTTTAAGTTTAAACGTAATAAAATTACAATTATTTAGTAACGGAATAAATTTTGAATTTTAATTTCAAACGATTAATTACATCATTATTACGAAACTTTTCATTAATTCTAACAAAAACTTACGCCCATACAGCAACTATAGAGACTACAGACTAAACTGTAGACTAGACTATAGACTAGATTATAGACTAGACTACAGACCAGAGACTAGACTATAGGCTAGACTATAGACTAGACTATAGGCTATACTATAGAGTAGACTAGACTAGAGACTAGGCTATAGACTAGACTATAACCTAGACTATAAAGTAGACTATGAACTAGACTACAAACTAGACTACAAACTAGACTATAAACTAGACTATACACTAGACTATACACTAGACTAAACACTATACTATAGACTAGACTATAGACTACAATATAGACTACAATATAGACTAGACTATAGACTACACTATAGACTAGACTATAGACCAGGCTATAGACTAGACTATAGACTAGACTACAAACTAGACTATAAACTAGACTATACACTAGACTATACACTAGACTAAACACTATACTATAGACTAGACTATAGACTAGACTATAGACTACACTATAGACTACAATATAGACTAGACTATAGACTACACTATAGACTAGACTATAGACCAGGCTATAGACTAGACTATAGACCAGGCTACAGACTAGACTATAGACTAGACTATATACTAGACTATAGACTAGACTATAGACTAGACGATAGACTAGACTATAGACTAGACTATAGACTACACTATAGACTACAATATAGACTAGACTATAGACTAGACTATAGACCAGGCTATAGACTAGACTATAGACTAGACTATAGACTAGACTATAGACTAGACTATATACTAGACTATATACTAGACTATAGACTAGACTATAGACTAGACGATAGACTAGACTATAGACTAGACTATAGACTAGACTATAGACTAGACTATAGACTAGACTAGACTAGACTATAGACTAGACTATAGACTAGACTATAGACTAGACTATAGACTAGACTATAGACTAGACATAGACTAGACTAGAATAGACTAGACTATAGACTAGACTATAGACTAGACTATGACTAGACTATAGACTAGACTATAGACTAGACTAGGACTACTAGACTAGACTATCGACCTAGACTGGACTAGACATACTATAGACTAGACTATAGACTAGACTATAGACTAGACTATAGACTAGACTATAGACTAGACTATAGAGCCTAGACTATAGACTAGACTATAGACTAGACTATAGACTAGACTATAGACTAGACTATAGACTAGACTATAGACTAGACTATAGACTAGACTATAGACTAGATAGACTAACTATAGACTAGACTATAGACTAGACTATAGACTAGACTATAGACTAGACTATAGGACTAGACTAGTAGACTAGACTATAGACTAGACTATAGACTAGACTATAGACTAGACATAGACTAGACTATAGACTAGACTATAGACTAGACTATAGACTAGACTATGACTATAGACTAGACTATAGACTAGACTATAGACTAAGACTATAGACTAGACTATAGAACTAGACTATAGACTTAGTACTATAGACTAGACTATTAGACTATAGACTAGACTAATAGACTAGACTATAAACTAGACTATAGACTAGACTATAGACTAGACTATAGACTAGAGTATACACTACACTATAGACTACTATATAGACTAGACTATAGAGTACTATATAGACTAGACTACAGACCAGACTACAGACCAGAACTATAAATTAGCCATAGACTAGACTATAGAATAGACTATAGACTAGAATATAGACTAGACTGTAGACTACACTATAGACTAGACTATAGACTAGACTATAGACTAGACTATAGACTAGACTATAGACTAGACTATAGACTAGACTATAGACTAGACTATAGACTAGACTATAGACTAGACTATAGACTGACTATAGACGAGACTATAGACTAGACTATAGACTAGACTATAGACTAGACTATAGACTAGACTATAGACTAGACTATAGACTAGACTATAGACTAGACTATAGACTAGACTAGACTAGACTATAGACTAGACTATAGACTATAGACTAGACTATAGACTAGACTATAGACTACACTATAGACTACACTATAGACTAGAATATAGACTAGACTATAGACTAGACTATATACTAGACTGCAGACTACACTATACAATAGACTAGACTAGATTATAGACTAGACCATAGACTAGACTATAGACTAGACTTAAAACTAGACTATAGACAGTGATCTATATATAGAGATTATATATCGATTTTCTTGTTGCACAGTGTAATCAAATAAATCAAAAGCGATAATTTATTTTAAATTTACCATATGAATGTAATTTTATTACTTTTCGACTTAAAAATAACAATAAATAACTAAAAAAAAATAATTTAACTTATAATTAACACTAGTTTAACTAGCGGTTAACACTACAAGTTATTCTATAACTTAGTCCCAATAGAAATACGAATTCATTCTTTTTCGAATTCATTGCTGACCAAAAACAAATATCGGACTCTGTTGCTGCTGCTTTAAGGCCATTTGTTGTAGTTGCTGTAGATATAAAACATGGCTCAGTTTAGCGGCAACTTGTTGCTGTTGATAGAAAGCGTAGTATTGTTGCTGTTGCAACAAATACTGTTGAGCTTGTTGATTATACTGATGGATAAGTGTTGCCAAATGTTTGCGGTTGTGTCTTGTTTGTTGAGGCAATTGTGAAGGTTGTTGATTTGCTTGGACTGGGTTCAAAACTTTTGCTTTTGGGGTTTGTTTTGTGTTCTTTTTCTTATCTTCCTTATCCAGCCAGGGTCTAAAGAAAGCTTTAGTTTGTTGTCTTTTGGCTAAAGGCTGTTCCGTTTCCTTATTAGCCATATCCAATATAGTTTGAGCACTGTTGACGTTTTCTTTACCCTCCAGTTCTTTTTGCTTGCGCTTGTTTGTATGCTTTGCAAATTTCTTGTGGGTGTATTGTTCAGCTTGATACAAGTTCGATGAAGCCATTTTGTTTAATTTTTAGTTTATGAAGTTGTGATGTTTAATGCTTAAGTAGTTCCAATGGAATGATACTGTTTTCTTTGGTTCGATAATATTTATACTTGCTAATTGTATGTCCTTTTGCGTAAGTTATTACCTGTTAGTTTTTAGGTCATTTAGGTTATCTTCTTATTGCTACCTTTTTTACCTGTTAACACCTAATTGTATAATATTGTTTTTTTACATACAAACCGAAATTCTGGTTTATTATTACCTATAGTTTTGTCTAGTGTATCCTTATTATGGTCATAAATATTAAGTCCTTTATTTTCTGTATCCTTTATACGTTAATAAATATGTTTTTTGTTTAATTATGCGGCTTGTTGTGGTAGATGATGTCACAACGGTTTAAATGGATAAGCTAATCCTTGTCGCCGGAAACTAGGGGTTAGTACTATACCAATTTGTCATGTTCCTTCTAAAATGGAAAGTTGTTATAATTTATACGTATATCTAAAATTTTGACCTCACTGAGTCACTGATTGGTGACTGAAATTTGGATCGGCCTCCCTTCAAATAGATCCACAGAATTAGTACACAATTTTTAATTCATTCGTAATGTAGCGAAAAAGATAAAGATATAAATTTAATACTTTTTGGCCATTCGAACTTTTAAGGTTTGAAAATTGTACCTATTTTTGGTACTTTTTCAAAAAACAAAAGTACCCAAGTACCCAAAAGTATTCCACTTGTTCGTGCAAAATTTGGGGATTCATAATTATGGTTTCCCCATAGCCTTTAGCATAGTAAATAAAAATAAATAAATTTTAAAAATTTCGAACAAATATCTCTGAAAGATATGTTCGAAAGATGGTTCTATGTACTATATTTAAAGGGGTAATACAATTATTGGACAGATAGATCCCAAAGTATGCATGATTGTCCTCAAAAATAAACCAAATCATCAGGGATTTCAAGATTTCATTTATTTACCCATTAAAATTCATCACATAACATTTAGGTTCTCTTACAAAACTAAAACAATTAATACATTCTTCCTACATACTACGGTATTAATAATGGACTTTCCAATATTCTCATAAAATATAGCTATGCTATGACGCTTACCAAAACATTCTGTTCACTCTCGATACATTCCCCAAAAAAGGGATTAAAAAAGGGATACATTCAAAGCTTACTTACTAAAACTTACATCTAATAACAAAGAACTTACAAACTAGAATAAAAATATTCACAAAAGGATAGACAGATAAAAGATATTCACAAAAGACAAGAAATAGATAAAAATTATATACAAAAGGAAAGACAATCTCATTGTGCGGTATTATATACCGTATCACGAATATCCAGAGTGTGGATTCTCCTATGATAAAATAAGAGGTCTGCACTCTCATAGAGGAGGCCAGCTCCCCTAAGGGTCAACAAATCCACCGGCGATAGATATCTAAACATCCGAATGGCCTCCAAATCATTCGCCCTATCAAAACATGCCTTTACCAGGCTATTCTCCAAAAAGCGAGAACCCTCCAAAAATTTAACTGCCAATTCAACCATAAAGATATCAATCCTGTTGAAATCTATGGCCCTGTACACCGACAAGCAGGATGGCCTGCGGAACACCCCATCCGGTCCCAATCGGCGCGTCAAACCCAGACAAGCGACCAGCACACCTCGCTCCCATCTCCTAAGCCTCTCCATCTGAGATGAGGAAATTCCAAACCAAGCTGGAAAAGCATAGGAGATGAGTGGGCGAATTACCTGCTTATACACCAAGAGTCTCAACCTTCTGTCAAGACCACCCTTGCGTTTCAGTATACCCTGATAGGTAGAGAACATTCTCTTCGCCTTCACCAGAATATTGTCAATATGACGATAATATTCGAAATTCTCGTGAAAGATGACTCCGAGATACTTCAACCTATCAGAGACACTGATAAGCTGACCGCCTATGGTCAACGATGGTATATATGACCTACAGTTAGGAAAAATATACTTGCGTCTACCCTTTACCAAATCATCAGGGCTATTCGAAGCAATTTAAATAGTGGATAATCTTACTCTAAAGGATCTTTCTAAAGAGATTAGGGTTATTTTAGAAAAAATATAAAACTCAATCTGTTATTTCAATTTCAATAAAATATTTTATTATATAAAATTTTTCATAAATTAATAATAAATTACTTAAACAATAATAAAATAACTTATAATTAACACTAGTTTAACTAGCAGTTATCACTTGAAGTTATTCCATAACTTAGTCCTCTTGTTACTACGATCTTTGCAACTCCAGTTATTGTTGACCAAAAACAAATAATTGTCCTTGACGCTGTAAAGACAACTGTTGTAAATGCCTTAAATACAGAGCTTGAGCAACATTCTGTTGCATTACAGCAGCTTGATAATATTGATAGGCGTTATATTGTTGTAGTTGTTGCAAATGCAACTGTTGAGCCAATTGTTTGTGCTGATGATTGTAAGGAGCCAAATGGTTGCGCTTGCGTTTCTGTTGTTCTAATTTGGTATTATGTAGTTGAGGTTGTTGCGGCCGGATATTGTTGTTGATGACATTTAAGGGAGTTGATGTAGTTTCCACTTTCTTATCGCTGTCCTCCAACCAGGGTCTGAACAAGGCTTTAGTTTGTTTCCTCTTGGGTAAAGGTTGCTCCGTTTGCTTAATTTCCAGGTTTGTTAAATCCAATATAGTTTGTACTGTAATCGGACTGACATTTTCTTTCACTTCCAACTCCTCATGCTTGCCAAATTTCTTGTGACTATAATCTTCAACTTTAACAGCGAACTTTTTGTGTTGGTATACAGTTTGCGATGACATATTGCGTAATTTTTTTTCTCAAATGATCTTCTTTAGTTGTTTATAGTTTGTTTGTTGTTAATTGAATGATGTTTTGTTTTCGCTGCGCTTAATATTTATACATATTTTAGTATCCTTTTGTTATCCTGTTTACCTGTGTTCCCATTTGACGGCTTTTGGTTTTAAAATTATCAAAATTGTCCCTTTTTCTGTGTGTCTAATAATATATCATCCTTTTTACCTGTTATTAAATTTTTATTGTTATTGTTTTTTACTTTAGTTTCTAAATCCTTGTTTTTGCTGTTCTATTGTGGTCATAAAAGTTAAGTACTTTATTTTCCGTTAATCCGTTTATAAAATTTTCCGCATTTTGACAAATTACTTTTATACCTAAATCCAAAAGGGTAGTAGTTACAATTCTAGATAATTTTTAAAATGCGCGTTTTACAATCCCTGCTTTAGTAAAATGTTTTCCGGCAAAACTAGAACAGAACTTGAACAAAACTAGAACAGAACTAGAACAGAACTAGAACAGAACTAGAACAGAACTAGAACAGAACTAGAACAAAACTAGAACAGAACTAGAACAGAACTAGAACAGAACTAGAACAGAACTAGAACAGAACTAGAACAGAACTAGAACAGAACAGAACAGAACAGAACAGAACTAGAACAGAACTAGAACAGAACTAGAATAGAACTAGAACGGAACTAGAACAGAACTAGAACAGAACTAGAACAGAACTAGAACAGAACTAGAACAGAACTAGAATAGAACTAGAACAGAACTAGAACAGAACTAGAACAGAACTAGAACAGAACTAGAACAGAACTAGAACAGAACTAGAACAGAACGAGAACAGAACTAGAACAGAACTAGAACGAACTAGAACAGAACTAGAACAGAACTAGAACAGAACTAGAACAGAACTAGAACAGAACTAGAACAGAACTAGAACAGAACTAGAACAGAACTAGAACAGAACTAGAACAGAACTAGAACAGAACTAGAACAGAACTAGAACAGAACTAGAACAGAACTAGAACAGAACTAGAACAGAACTAGAACAGAACTAGAACAGAACTAGAACAGAACTAGAACAGAACTAGAACAGAACTAGAACAGAACTAGAACAGAACTAGAACAGAACTAGAACAGAACTAGAACAGAACTAGAACAGAACTAGAACAGAACTAGAACAGAACTAGAACAGAACTAGAACAGAACTAGAACAGAACTAGAACAGAACTAGACAGACTAGAACTAGAACAGAACTAGCACAGAACTAGAACTAGAACAGAACTAGAATAGAACAAGAATAGAACTAGAACAGAACTAGAACAGAACTAGAACAGTACTAGAACAGAACTAGAACAGAACTAGAACAGAACTAGAACAGAACTAAACAGAACTAGAACAGAACTAGAACAGAACTAGAACAGAACTAGAACAGTACTAGAACAGAACTAGAACAGAACTAGAACAGTACTAGAACAGAACTAGAACAGAACTAGAACAGAACTAGAACAGAACTAGAACAGAACTAGAACAGAACTAGAACAGAACTAGAACAGAACTAGAACAGAACTAGAACAGAACTAGAACAGAACAGAACTAGAACAGAACTAGAACAGAACTAGAACAGAACTAGAACAGAACTAGAACAGAACTCGAACAGAAACTAGAACAGAACTAGAACAGAAACTAGAACAGAACTAGAACAGAACTAGAACAGAACTAGAACAGAACTAGAACAGAACTAGAACAGACACTAGGAACCAGAACTAGAACAGAACCTAGAACAGGAACTAGAACAGAACTAGAACAGAACTAGACACAGAGAACTAGAACAGAACTAGAACAGAAACTAGAACCGAACTGAGAACTAGAAACTCGAACAAGAACTTAGCACAGAACTTAGAACAGAACTAGAAACAAGAACTAGAACAGCAACTAGAACCGAACTAGAACAGTAACTAGAAAACGAACTAGAACAGCCCTAGAACAGACCTAGAACAGAACTAGAACAGAACTAGAACAGGAACTAGAACCAGAACTAGAACTAGTAACTAGAACAGAACTAGACGAACTAGACCTTACTAGACAGACTAGAACAGAACTAGAAACTAGAACAGGAACTAGAACAACTAGCACAGAACTAGAACAGAACTAGAACAGTAACTAGAACAGAACTAGCAACAGAACTATAAACAGAACTAGAACAGAACTAGAACAGAACTAGAACAGAACTAGAACAGAACTAGAACCAGACCTAGAACAAGTAACTAGAAACGAACTAGAACAGAACTAGAACAGTAACTAGAAACTAGACAAACTAGAACAGAAGCTAGAACAGAACTAGAACAGAACTAGAACAGAACAGAACTAGAACAGAACTAGAACAGAACTAGAACAGAACTAGAACAAAACTAGAACAGAACTAGAACAGAACTAGAACAGAACTAGAACAGAACTAGAACAGAACTAGAACAGAACTAGAACAGAACTAGAACAGAACTAGAACAGAACTAGAACAGAACTAGAACAGAACTAGAAACAGAACTAGAACAGAACTAGAACAGAACTAGAATAGAACTAGAACAGAACTAGAACAGAACTAGAACAGAACTAGAAAGAACTAGAACAGAACTAGAACAGAACTAGAACAGAACTAGAACAGAACTAGAACAGAACTAGAACAGAACTAGAACAGAACTAGAACAGAACTAGAACAGAACTAGAACAGAACTAGAACAGAACTAGAACAGAACTAGAACAGAACTAGAACAGAACTAGAACAGAACTAGAACAGAACTAGAACAGAACTAGAACAGAACTAGAACAGAACAGAACTAGAACAGAACTAGAACAGAACTAGAAACTAGAACAGAACTAGAACAGAACTAGAAAGAACTAGAACAGAACTAGAACAGAACTAGAACAGAACTAGAACAGAACTAGAACAGAACTAGAACAGAACTAGAACAGAACTAGAACAGAAACTAGAACAGAACTAGAACAGAACTAGAACAGAACTCGACAGAACTAGAACAGAACTAGAACAGAACTAGAACAGACCTAGAACAGAACTAGAACAGAACTAGAACAGAACTAGAACAGAACTAGAACAGAACTAGACCAGAACTAGAACAGAACTAGAACAAACAGAACTAGAACAGAACTAGAACAGAACTAGAACAGAACTAGAACAGAACTAGAACAGAACTAGAACAGAACTAGACAACAGAACTAGAAGAACTAGACAGAACTAGAACAGAACTAGAACAGAACTAGAACAGAACTAGAACAGAACTAGAACAGAACTAGAACAGAACTAGAACAGAACTAGAACAGAACTAGAACAGAACTAGAACAGAACTCGACAGAACTAGAACAGAACTAGAACAGAACTAGAACAGAACTAGAACAGAACTAGAACAGGAACTAGAACAGAACTCGAACAGAACTAGAACAAACTAGGAACACGACTAGAACAGAACTAGAACAGAACTAGAACAGACCTAGAAACTAGAACAATGAACCGAACTAGAACAGAACTAGACCAGAACTAGAACGAGAACTAGGAACAGAACTAGAACAGAACTTGAACCAGAACTTGAACAGAACTTGAACTAGAGAACTAGAACAGGAACTAGAACAGAACATAGAACAGAACTAGAACAGAACTAGAACAGAACTAGAACAGAACTAGAACAGAACTCGAACAGAACTAGAACAGAACTAGAACCGACAGAACTAGAGCAGAAACTAGAACCAGAACAGAACTAGAACAGAAACTAGAACAGAACCAGAACAGAACTAGAAAATAACTAGAAACTAGAACAGAATTAGAACCGAATTATTTTGAAAATATTTGTTCATTAGTTCAAATCCCCAATAAGTTCTTTTTTAAAACTCTACCATCTAAATCTTTGAAATTTCCTTAAGTAAAAACCAATATCTAAAATTCTACCTAATTAGTTGTATTTACTATTTAGTCATGCTTGTTAGTCTTACTACTTAAAATTAGTTTGCTATCAAATGAAAATCTCTGTTTTTCTTTACATTATCAGCTTTAAGAAGATTTATAGTTTTGTAACAAAATTAAGTCCCTTTCAGTGCTCTCTCTTAAGTCCCCTGTGTTCGTATGTGTTTTCCCTCAAAAGAAAACCACAATTGAAATCTTTAGGCTAAACAAAAAGAGAATCTTGATCAACCGTATCAAACCCATAAACATAAAATAAATCTCTTTTTTTTTCTAAGACAAAAAACCTACAATTTTCACCTTTTAAATAAGAAAACATAGAAATTATTGTGCTTTTCAGTTTCTTGAAAATTTTTTTTCAGGGAAAACAAAAGAATTTTAAACAATTAAATTTTTTTAAAAGACCTTGACATGTTTGTCATAAAGCCGACAATGTTATAAAAATCTTAAGAAAATTATTTCAATAGTTATGTGCAAAGAATAATAAGAAGTTGGACTATGACATTGTTTTACAACAATAACATTTCCTTCTCTTCACAGACGAGTTCTGTGTAAATTCAACACACTTGTGAGAACTCAATTCTCTCACAATACTTCAAAACTTTTTCGCGAAAATACCGGGATAATAGGACTTGAACGACGTCTTTTCACAAACACATAACTATTTTTTAATTTTTTACACAATTTTTTCGCATTTAACAATCCGAAATATTTTTATTTTTCACAAACTAAAAAAATATTTTTTTAATTTTTTTGACAATTAATTTTTGTGTGTTGAAATTAAAATTGACAAAACAAAGTTGTATATTTTGGTATTGAGAATGAAAAAATTATTTAAAATAAACTTATTTTTTTGCAAAAAAAAGAGATTTTAAGTCCGAAAATTATATTTATTAAATGTTTACTGATTAGATGTGGGCAAAATAAATTAAATTATCTGCGAATGTAAAAATTTAAATGTTATTTATTTTTTCTAAAATTTTTATGTACGATTTTATGCAAGTATGTATGTTTGGAAAGTGTGGTGAAAGTGGT